ATCATATATATGCATTGATTTAATATATACATGAGGAAGTGCAGTGGTTCCGTACAATAAACACTGGACTGCAAACCACAAGGTTCATGATCCGAGCCCACCAGCTGCTCCACAGGAGAAAGATAAAGCTTTCTGCTCCCGTAAAGATATACTGCCTCTGAAACCCTGTAGAGGGTCGCTATGAGTCGGAACTGACTCAACACAGCAATAACACATATATATGACCACATCCATCTATTGAGAGAGAAAAAACACAAATATAGTGCATGTGTCTGGGTCCTCTCTGTCCTCTACAAGACATAAGTATATAGGCTACTTAATGTGGGTGGAGTGCTACAGAATACTTGAAACAGGATAAACACTCAAGAAATATTTCCTACTGTGGGGAGTATAACCTAGTGGTACAAAGGAAGGATCGGACTAGCATTGCCCTATTTAGCAGTTCTTGTTGCCTCATGTATGATGGACAATCAGTTATGTTGTGTGTCCTAATATGATGCCATAAGATAAGCACACCACTTAAGATGAATTTTAGTAACGATCATTTAACCTGTATGCATCAAACTCTAGCTTTCAGAACCAATTTTCAGTTCCCAGGAAACAAAGTTATATTCCTTATGATACTATAAGGAAGCAACCACATTAACTCACCAGAAAGCAGAACATTTTTCTTGATAATTTGCCCATCAACAAGTCAGAGTCATGATAAAGAAACTGTTTTGGAATAAAAGAGACTTAATGAAACAGTTTGGAAAAGATACGGGAAATCTGAACATAGCTTGGATATATTAGATAATGTTAAAGAATGACTATTATTACTAATTTTAAGTGTGATCTTATTTTTAATGCATACACAAATGGCGCTGCGGGTTAATGCGCTGGACTGCAAGGTTGCTTTGAACTGCAAAGGTTGGCGGTTCAAGCTCACCAGTCACTCCTCAGAAACCCTAATAGGGTTGCTATGAGTCAGAACCGACGTGACGACACTTAACAACAACACAATTAAACACATAAATTTTAAAAATACTGGCTACCTTCTGAGTTGGGAAATTCCCACTTGAAAAGACATGCAGACCGACCCAGCACTGCTGGGAGAACAGAAGATCTTATTGAAAGAAAGACCTGAAGAAAAAAAGCAGACTGTTTGGCTATTTGATTGTCAGGCAGGCTGTTTGCTTTGGAAGAATCAAGGTAAGAGAAGTCATTCTGCCAGGGAGACCCCATTCTAGGGCTGAGAAAAAAAGGAAAAAAAAAAGTGACTAAATGAAAGAGAAAAAACTCTTGAGTTGGAGCTATAGACTTAATAATAGTCAATAGCACAAATGGTAATTAAAACAATGAGCACAGATGAAATTAACTAAGATTTGTGTAACATAAGACAAAAAAGAGAACTAAGGGGATTGCTGATATTTCAAAGATTAGATATAGGTGGCAGAACCATCAAATTGAGCCTATGGGGAAAAGTAGGGGAAACATTAGGAGAATGGTTCTCCAGAAGCCAGTGGAGGCCTTTCAAGGACAAAGCAATTAATAGTGTTGAATCCTAAGGAGATCAAACCGGATAAAGACTGAAACAAGTCTAACAAATGACAAACAGGACGTCAGTGAGGGCCTGACGAGAGTAGTTTCAGTTGAGTGGCTGGAGCAGAAGTCACAGGAGTGACATCACTCTTCTTTCTCAGAAAGATGAGAACCTGTACAATTAATATACATTGTTCAGATAATGAAATTCCCAGTGATCAATGCTAACAGGCAACAACAGGTTAAGGAAGAGAGACTTGTAAGAGACAGATGGTAATGGCTGAGTTACTCATAAGACCCCTTTATATTTCTTATGTCATGCCTATATAGAAGAAATATCTGCCATTATATTTTATAATTAGCAAATTTGACATTAGTAGAGTTTGGTTTTTCCCACTTGCTTCCCAAAGAAAAGTGATACTGCCAACTTATATACAGATATGGTCCACTGTATGCAATGAGTTTGTTCTTTAAAAAATTGGATGTAAAATAAATCTTTATAAATCAAATCAGTAAGTGAATCAGGAAAATTATTTAAAGGAGTGATGGGGGACCCTTAGGGTGCAATCTGATGTCACTGAGGTCACATCTTTATAAGAAAAAAATAACAATAAATTACTTAACTTTGATTTTATAACATACATCCCTTGTTTTCTATTCTGAATCCTAAGAGATTATGTTATTCTTGTTAAGTGCCATTGAGTCACTTCCGACTCATAGTAACCCTGAGTAAGGTTTCTGAGGATTTAAATCTTTGCAAGTGCAGAAAGTCTCATCTTTCTCCTGTGGAATGGCTGGTGGACTTGAACTGTTGCCAAAGTTGTGGTTTGAAGTCCAGTGTTTATCCTACAGAGCCACATTGCTCCCTGTGAGATATACAGGATGGGCATTATTAACCCATTTGACCCTGGTTCACTTTCCCTGCTATAAAGGGACTCTCTGGAAAAAAAGATGAGTGGTTTTTTCCCTTGGAGGAAAAAGTCTTGGAAGAGCTAATAGTCACACAGTTCCAAAGCAGTTTACCTTTCTTAATGACTGCACAAGAATCCCTAGTAGTATAATGGGTTAAGCACTAGGCTGCTACCTAAAAACCTGGCGGTTCAAACCCACCACCTGCTCTATGGGAGAAAGATGAGGCTGTATGCTTTTGTAAGATTTACAGTCTCAGAAACCCTATGGAGCAATTTTATGCTCTCTTATAGAGTGGGGTCACTTATGAATTGGAACTGATTCAGTGGCAATATATTTCTTTTAATTAATACACCAGAAACTGTGGTTTCTCACATTCTTAAGCTTAACCCAAGTCTCTTAAGGAGCAGTTGGTAGGTTTGAACTTTTGACCTTGCAGTTAGCAGTCTAGTACTTATCCTGCAGCATCACAAGATGACTCCATATAAATATTAACAGCTAATAATTATTAAAGGAGTTCTGGTAGCATAGTGGTTACAAGTTGGGCTGCTAAACTCAAGGTCAGCAGTTCAAAACTATCAGCTGTTCCATGGGAGAAAGATGAGACTTTTTGCTTCCATAAAGACTTATAACCTTGGAATCCATATCCAGGGTCGCTATGGGTTGGAACCGACTCCATGGCACATAAGCAACCAATCAACCAACAATAATTATTAGGCGTCCTGGTGTGGTGCTGCAGGTTAATGTACTGGACTGCAAGGTTGGAGGTTCAAGCTCACTTTCCACTCCTCGGAAACGCTATACAGGGTCGCTATGAGTCGGAACCAACTTGACAGCACTTAAAAACAACCTTTATACAGGGTAGCTATGAGTTGGAATTAATTATTGAGCACTTTCTATGTGTCCAGCATTACACAGAGTATGTAAGGATTATAGATTGCATTTAATCATTCCAATGACAAATTTATGAAGCAGGCACTATTTATATTTATAATCATTCTCATTTTATATGAGGAAACAGATTAAATCACTTTGGCACTGTAGGATAAAACACTGGACCCAAGGTCAGTTTGATTCACAAGGCCAGTAGTTCAAACTCACCAGCCACTCCTTGGAAACCCCTTCACAGAGTCGCTATGAGTCAGAACCGACTTGATATCACTTAATAACAACAACAATGTATGAAAGCTAGGCGCTCTGGTGGCGCTGTAGGATAGGCAAGGTCAGCAGTTAAAACCTACCAGTCCTTCTGCTGAAGAAAATAATCTTTCTGCTCTAGTAAAGATTTACAGCCTTGGAAATCTCTATACAGTATACAAGGTAGCTATGAGTTGGAATTGATTTAATAGCGGTAAGTCTGGTTTTTTGATTTATATCCTAGCTAGTGTAAATTTTACAAAAACATGCTCTGACAAAATGCTGAATTCTAATCATATTTCCAAACAAGGATATTTAAACTCACAGTAAACTTAAAAATTGTGCCATGCTATACAGCAAATTTATAGGGAGAGTGGAAAGAGATGATGTGGGAAAATAAAATACTAAAAAGATTTTTTAATATAAAGTTTCTCCCAACAGTCATTTCTTCTTATTCACAGTTGTTGTTGTTGTTATGTGCAGTAGAGTCGGTTCCAACTCATAGCGACCCTGTACAGGGTTTCCGAGGCTGTAAATCTTTATGGGAGCAGAAAGCCTCATCTTCCTCTTGTGGAACAGCTGGTAGTTTCGAACTGCTAACCCTGAGGTTAGCAGCCCTATTTATAATCACTACGCTACCAAAGTTCCTTAGTCACAGTAAAGCATGTTTAGTATTATTTCTTCCATTATTAAAAATGGAGATTATTTTTCCATAGTTTATGAATTAAAATCTGTAGGTCTCTTACAGAAGAAATGCACTATAAGAAGGCATCAAATGTAATACATTTTAATAGCATTCCCACCCCTTAAACGTAAGTTTTCTAAATTCTCTATAATGACGATGTAATTTTTATCATTGGAAAAAAAGATTTAAAAATTGAGATAGAAATAAAGTAACAATGATAAAAAGATTTGAGGTCTGGGATTTATACCTGAGAATTAACTGACTCTACAATTTATTTACTTTACTTTTGTATATCTTATATATTTACTTTTGTATATATACAATTACAATTTTCTGCTTTAGCTAAAGTTCAGTCTGACAATGTGTTAAATTGTGTTAAATAGAAGTAGTTCAAGAGAACGTGCCAAAGTCTTTGGCCATACTGTGTCCAAAAGACCTCTTGTAAAGAAAAGCAGAATGTTCTGGGACTCTAAAAAGGTTAATAATAATTAGTATTAAAATATCTTGGGACATGCATAGTAGGCAATACCCTTTGTAACCCTGATAGCTTAGAACAATAAAAAAAAGATGCTATTGTTGAATGATCTCATCTTTACTTTGAATGACAGTCTAAGGATGTACACAATCCAAAGCAATTCTTAAATTATATAAAGTCACATATAGACAACATACGTGAATTACTACTGTCTTTTTAAAATAAAAACATTGATTAATTAAGTGGTAGGAAATTAGTGAGCAGTCTTCTTACCTGCGTGGCCTAGTCCTTGGAGACATCATTTCATTCCCAAGTATGTGATACCGTCTTGCTTCATGTAACAGCTGGTAACACTCAGGAGAATTCTGGATCAATTGGTCCACTTCAACTGTCTGAACAAAGTAGTTGGGATGCAACAGAGGAAGTCTCACATGTGTCAGGAGTTCATGTAACAGGGGTCTTCTCAGATCGACAGCACGATATACCCAACGCATGACGGCTTCAAAAACCATCTCTTCTTTACCAATAACAAGTTCATCACTACAAATATAATCAATAAGTTCATCTTTGTCAAGCTCAAGAAATTCTTCATGCTGGGATACATCTTCAAAAGTCTGCAATGCAAAAGTCTTGCATTTTGTGAAGAGTGTTTTGAGTGAATGAGTATCAGCAAAACGCTGGATTCCTAAGCAATTACAAGGATCAAGTTGTTCCTCCAAGAATTTAGCACAAGCATCACGTAGAACACTAATCTGAAAGAGGCTAGATGTTTCAAAGAGATACTGTACATTCTCTGTAGTGATCTTCACCTTTCCAGTATAAACATACTGCAAAAAACACTCCATAGCTTCAGCTAAAATACCATTGATCTCGACCAACATTTCCCGGCTTTCCCTGTGGTCATTACAGAACATAGCTCTGAAGTAGCTACTGCAGGCTGAGAGAACAGCTCGATGACAAGGAAATTCTTTTCCCTCTACACAAATGATAACATCTGTGAATAAACGGCTATCTCGGAATTCATTAAATATTTGAAGTATGTTTTCAGCATGGGATGATCCTGTAGAAAAGTCAAAAAATTCATGGCCTGTCAGAGATTTAGGGTCCATTTCAAAAACTTTACGCTTAGTTGCCGGGGAGTCACGCACCCCAAGATCCTCTCTGTTTAGTCTGCGTCCCAATATTAGTACCATTGTTACATCAGTTGACTATATAATTGTTGAGAAATGACTGTTAAGGATCGTCCTTATGTTGCTAAAAAGTGAAAATAAAAGAAAACATTTCAATATGTAAAAAATCCAATATTCAAATTCAATAATTTCAATTTGATAGTACTATGCTCATTTAAATCAAAATTGATAAATAAAAACTTGTATTTGCACAATTACAACATTAGGGGTAATTTGCAACAGGACTGAAGTTCCCCATTTGAAAGAATATTATCTACTTTGTGAATTATTAACAGCCTTCTTTTCCCCCCATTTACACAACCAGGTTTTATACTACTGAATGGAGGCGACAATGGTGTAAGGCAATAGAGTTAAGAATGGTGAAATGCACAGAATCTGACCAGTCAGAAGCCTGATACAAATGGTTATTATCAAATGTACATTTGATAGATTCTACTAGATTCGCAAGAGAGTAATTTTCCTATATCCATCATGAGTCCTCGTGTGGCACTGTAAAATAAGCACCGGATTGCTAACCACAAGGCTGGAGGTTCAAACCCACCAGTCACTCCTAGGACACCCTATACAGGGTCGCTGTGAGTCGGGATGACTTGACAGCACTTAATAACAACAAAACAGTAGCCTTCTAACATATGCATATTGTTTCACCATCATTTCTTTCTAGCAATATAGCTTAAAGAAATAGTCATAAATATGCAGCTTTATCTATAGATCTGTTCAATGCAGTATTAATATAAAATTCTTCAAAAAAAAAAAAGTTAACACCCTATAAGAAATGAAACCACAGTACATCTTCTAGATAGAACAATTTGTGCATAATTATTATATACACTATTTAATTATATGGCGAAGTCTTGACCAGATATTAAGTAAAAAAGCAGATCATAAAACATATCTTAATAGAAAATTATATATATATATATCTATATCTGGTATCATAGTGGTTATGAATCGGGCTGTGAACCGCAAGGTCAGCAGTTCGAAACTACCAGCTGTTCCGCGGGAAAAGATGAGGTGTTCTGTTCCCATAAAGATTTACAGCCTTGGAAACCCAGTACAGGGTCGCTATGAGTATATACATACATACACACACACACACACACACACACATATATCTAAGTGTATGCACAATAAATATAGTAAGTGAATCAAAACCAGAAAAGGACTCCTGGTGTGGCACAGTAGGATCAGCACTGGACTGCTAACCACTAGGTCAGCAGTTCAAACCCACCAGATGCTCCTTGGAAACCCTATACAGGGTTGCTATGAGTCAGAACTGACTTAAAGGCACTGAATAACAACAACACAGAACAGGAAAAAAATAGAAGGTACATAATGTTGTGATACTATTGTCTCTTTCGTTTTTCTCTTTTCTTTCCCAGAATGACCCCTATAAAAACGTAGTACTTTGCATTTAGATTTTCAAAATGCATATTCTTTATGCTCTGGTTCCTTTTACTAATCAGAAACAACTTAAAATTGACTACAGTTACAACCCCTTCTAAAGGTCTCAGTCTCTTCCTAAAATATTTCAGGTCTAAGCAAGAAGAAAGCCTAAGAACAGCAAAGGTTGCCAAAAACTGGATGTCATTCTACACTCACAAACAAAACAGAAACTTGAATGATAACAATCTTAAGACTGCATCTCATCCCACATTAAATTACACCCCATTTTCTAAGTCCTTATGGAAAAATAGTAATATTAAAACCAAAAAGCAGCTAATTATACAAGGGGGGGGTATCAAAAGTTTGTGGGAAAATTCCATTTTATTTTCCCATGAACTTTTTTTTTTTTTTTTTTT